TGCAGCATGCCATGTCTTGCAGCATGCCATGCCTGTAGGCTCTGGCCATGTCTTGCAGCATGCCTGTAGGCTCTGGCCAAAAGTTGTAGCATGCCTATAGGCTCTGACCAATTCCGTTGCATGTCCCTGCATTCTGTGACAACTTTGTTTAGCGAAACATTCACTTAATAATAGGTGCAGCCTTTGGGTGATCTCGAGAGTTACACTTGAGCCCCTCCTAAAGAGGTAGGTTGACCACCACTGCTTCGTAGAGACAAAAACAATCCTAAAATCACAGTAACTTTGTGTATTTATATATAGCTCAGTTTGATGTTTCAAGCTTTGATTTCAATTCTTAAAATTACAGTGGGGAGGTAGCTGGACACCATCATTGTATCAGCCCCGTAACTTCAGGCTGACAGCAGTTTCCTTCCATGGGATCACTGGGCAGGAAGTCCGCTGGTTATTGGGAAAGATCTGACTTTTCTCTTTGGGCCTTTAATTCTGATAAACTTTAGCAACATTCATTTAAAGTATATCTAAAGGCAAAACCTTTTTTTTTTTTTTTTACCATTTTTGATGGAGTGGAGAGGGACTAGAACACCTATTAGGTGGTTGTCGCTGTCTGTGCCCCCATTAGGGAAATTCATCCTATCTGTCCTGTTTACCATCACCACTAAAAGGGAAAGTAAAAGCCCCAAGATTTGGGTTGTCTGCAGAAAAGGGGGAAATTTTCCAATGGGGACACTAGTTCTGGTGACCTTAATTTGTGGGGATTTCCTCTCGCTTTTGGCTTGGGACAGGAAGTGAAGGGAAATCACTGGGACACAGATGGCAAAAAATAAATTGACAGCGGTTATAACCCTCCCTTATTCCATCCAAAATAAAAAAAAATTGCCTATAGTTCTACTTGAACATTAACAAGTCTAGTATCCTTTGACAAATTCAGACGGTGCAGCAGTTCAATAACAGGCTGGTTTTTCGATCATGATTTATGTATACTCCTCTTTGTCATGAATGCATAGTTTTGTGCCTTTTTAGTATGAAATCAGTATGTCTCATTTATAAAGCCACTCCATTACCCTTAATGGTCAGAATTTTTACAACTGCCTGGTATTCACCTTAAAGAACAATCCCTTTACACCTATAATAAGAGAAAATCGTGATGACCTACGTCTGAAGATGCTTGTTTCCCGACTGTTCTGGCCCTCTGGCTACAATACTGACCCAGAGCAACAATGCAAAGCATTAAAGTCTAGAACTCCTCCTCTGCAAGCCTGTTCTGGGTCAGAGACTCAAATGACTAAAGCCACTGGGCTGAATAATAACAAGCATTTTAGGAAGTCGGCAACAGCACTCTGAGCTTCTGTGATGCCAGATTTCCATAAAAACGTTTCATGTATGAAGTGCCCAACTGTAGAGTTTCTGCATTTCCCATGTACCAACCAACCAGCTTCTGCTTTTTTGTACAGTTGGGATGCAGGAAGGAAAACAATGTTTCATCAGCACCTTTGTGTGCCTATATATATATATATACAGCATCAAGTTCACCTGATTTGACTTCTTACAGTCCACTAGGAAAATGACTGCATGCCTGTATGTATCCTCCATGCGAGAAAGTCCTACACCCTGGCCTAGCCTACTTGGTACGGAATGCTTGTATTCCTCTGTGATATGCCAGTAACAGGAATGGAGCCTTTATAGGCAGAAACCAGTTTATGGAAATGCTTTTAGAGGCTGGATCGTCTTTGTTGAGTAGCCACTTTTCCAAGTAAATTTGGGTTGTAGTGATGCTTCTGAGCTAGTCAGAGGGTTGGAGGCCAACTGAAGTCTGACAACTGCTGGCCTTTCCACTGCTGGACCTCACACGCAGGTTTTTATCTTCTGTAGACATATACTGAGTGAGAGGTCAGGCAGATAATAGGCAGCAACTGTCCCTGAAAACCCAGCTAGAGCAATGGTCTTCTTCAAACTGTGGGCCAGATGTGGCCTTTTGCTTGCCTTTTCTGACCCATGGAACGCTATTCCTCCCATTGACCCCAGCGATGAGGCACCATTCCTTTCACTTACACCAATTATGGGGCACTATCCCTTGCACTGACACAAACAACAAAGCACCATGCCTTCCACTGACACCAATGATGGGACAATATTGCTCCTGACACCAACAATGAGGCATTTTTCCTTCCACTGACACCAATTATGGAGCACCATTCCTCCCACGGACACCAGCAATGAAGCACCATTCTTCACATTGATACCAGCAACTGAAGCACCATTCCTCCCACTGACACCAACAATGAGGCACCATTCTTTCCACTGACACCAATGATGGGGCACTATTACTCCTACTGACACCAGCAATGAAGTACCATTCCTCCCACTCATACCAACCATGAGGCAACCTTCCACTGACAGCAAAGATGGGGCACTATTCTTTTCACTGACACCAGTGAAGGGGCACTATCCCTTCCACGGACACCAACAATGAGGCACCATTCCTTCCATTGACACCAACGATGGAGCACTATTCCTTCCACTAACACCAACAATGAGGCACCATTCTTTCCACTGACACCAATGATGGGGCACTATTAATCCTACTGACACCAGCAATGAAGTACCCTTCCTCCCACTTACACCAACAATGAGGCACCATTCCTTCCACTGACAGCAAAGATGGGGCACTATTCTTTTCACTGACACCAGTGAAGGGGCACTATCCCTTCCACGGACACCAACAATGAGGCACCATTCCTTCCATTGACACCAACGATGGAGCACTATTCCTTCCACTAACACAAACAATGAGGCACTATTCTTTCCATTGACACCAACAATGGGGTGCTTTTCCTTCCATTCACACCAGCGACTGGGCACTATTCCTTCCACTGACACCAATGATGGGGCACTATTCCTTCCACTGACACCAGTGACTGGGCACTATTCCTTCCACTGACACCAGCGCCTGGGCACTATTCCTTCCATTGACCCTAACGATGGAGCACTATTCTTCCCACTGATACCAGCAATTGCCACCATAACTCATGTTGGAGCATGCTTTCTCCTTCAGACCATAGGTACCATGTAATTTTTGTAATCCCACAGACAACCAAGCCTGAGACATTGTTTTCTATTCCCAGTGGCCACAGTCCGGCCCCCCCTAAAGTCTGAAGAACAGTCCTTTGGCCCTTTTCTTTAGAACGTTTGGAGACCCCTGCTCTGGAGTGTCCGGATCAGACAATGTAAGCCCTGCACAGTTATAATTCAAACTTTGAATATTCACTTCCTGCATTGGTCAAGTTTTGGCAGGTTCTCTTTGAAGGACTGTCTGTATAGACTCAAAACAACCATTCCCTACAAGGTTTTATGCAGAGTTTGAATATGATTGTTATACGGTGGCACAGGCAATTCATATACCAGGACATACAAGGCAAGATGCATTTTTACCAAATTCCTTTGCTGTAATCTTGGATACATTTTGATCACATGACCCATAAGTAGCCCCTGAAAGTATTTTTAACATAGAAAACACGTCAAGTCAAACAAAGCCTTCCGCGCCAAGACACAAGGGAGGCTTATCTTTGGATTTTATTTAAAGCATCAGATTTCATTCAAAAAAAAGAAATTAAATGTGTGTGCACACGTCGGTGTGTGACCATGTATCTATGCATACATATACACACACATGTATACATACAAATGGTTAACTCTTTTCCACTTTTTTTTTCTCTTTTTTTTTTTTTTAACAGAACAGACCTCTGTCTATTGACATGAAACAGAGTCAACAGGTAACACTGGGGTTGGGGTAAGTGTGCAGAATACAAACACCAAACAACAGGGAATAATACACCTTTACCAGCAAACCCTCTTTCCCCAAAATCCCAACATTGGCATTTGTTGAGAGAATAAGCTCCTCAGGGGCGGGGCATGTGCCTGTAACACACTATGTACAGCACTGCTAAACGCAGGCTATGAAGAGCTATTTGTCCCATTGGGAAATAAAAATGTAAATAAAATTAAGTAGCAGTGACAGATCCCTGCTGGTAAGAGCTAATTTTTCTTAAAAATATTATAGTTAAAAACAAAAATAAAAAAAGAGGGGAAGGGGGGTTTTCTTTTGGTTAAAGAGCTAAGGGTTACTGATCTTGACAATGTGTTTGGGTCGGCCACCTTGTGACCAGAAAAAACAAATGGCTTGATGAGTAACGTCATATGGACACAAAAAAGAAAAAAGTACAAAGGATCTTATCCATTTCTGAAAACTGTCTTGATTCAATGGCCTCATCTACAAGAAATATAGAAAGTCTGTTCGTAATTCATTCATTAAAGTATATATATTTATATATATATATATTTTTGGAGCTGTGGTTCCCGGATGTGAAAATTATAAAGTACGAATGCCACCCGAAACGATTCGTCCCTTGGGAGGCAGCTTTTTTTTTTTTTTTTTTTGTTTTCTTTTTTATTATCATTTAAAACCCAGTCCTGAATCTTTTTTTCTGACCGGTTGTTAGCAATTACTTAAAAAAAAAAAATTCAGTTACTGAACAGAAAAAAATAAAATAAAATAAATACATATATACACACATATATATTCCTATCCATATATATGTATATATAAAATTCCAAGACCAGAGTCAGAACACGGTGTGAACATTTGACCTGAGAATAACACAATAATTCCATTGGTTTTTTTTTCTTAACAAAGCTTTCGCAGGGTAAGCAGAAAAGGGCTGTCACCTCCGGGTGACCAAACTCCATAGAAGGGGGGGGAAATGGAGTTGGACCCAGTTCCCTCTGAAAGGGGCCCAATGTGACAGTAGAGGGGAAAACAGGGCAGAGGGGCAGGTGTAGGAATGAAGAAATTCATACTGGGGAAGGGAAGGGGTCCTTTTTTTGGTTAGAAGCTTTGGAAATTGCAGTATTTTTTTGTTTGTGAAATTGGTTTGTTATTTATCTTTTTTTATTATTTAAAATTCATATTTATTATTATTTTCATCATCGTCCATCTCCGAAGTCTACAATCGTAAAGAACCCACTCCCACAGCAGTTCGAGAGCCATCCTCATGACAGCTTGGGTTCTCAGGAGCGCCTAGTGGACTTCCCGCCCTGTCAGACTTTTGGCTGAGGTCCGAGTCCGACTCCTCAGAGAAAACGTCTGTTGGAAAGGAGGTCGCAACCCCTGAGGTGCTGCACGGACTTGAGGTAACTGTTGAAGATGAGGAGAGCGTGGGGGGAGGCGGAGGTTTTCTGGGCGTACTGTGAGACCAGGACTTGGTGGTGGCGTGGGGAGAAGCAGAGGGGGAAGGGGGGTGAGAGGCTGGCTTTGGAGTCAGCAGCAGACTGAGAGGTAGATGCGGTGTCAGGATTGGGGAAGCAGGCGGAGTGAGGTAATAAACTAGGGTGCTCTTTGGCGTTTCTTGCTGTTCTTTTGATTGTTCTGTGTTTGTGCAAGGGTGACTCCAGATGTTGACGCAGTGCATCGCCCCCACACAGCGTGGCCTCACACCCTAGACAGCGGTATGAACCGCTGCAGTCACCAGTGGGGATGCATGTCACCAGTTCTTGCAGGTTCACCACAGATTGGCCAAAGAAGCAGAGGGACTTCAGGTGGCTGATAGCCGCCTCCTCGCTGCTGAAGCTTAGCTCACACTTCCGGCAGACCAACTTGTACTGCACCTTTGGGACAATAAAGGGGTCCAAGAGACAATCCGCAACTTGGCTTTCTGCTTCTTGATGTTCTGGAGGCTTGTTAGAGTGCGATACCTCAAGGGCCACAGGATTCTGCTCTTCCAGCTTAAGGGAGTCTTTGGCAGGATATTTTTCTGAAGGGGAAACAACAGAAGGAGTTGGGGTTTGGCTTGCTTTGGGTTGTTGTTGCTGCTGCAGTCTCTGATGATGATGATGATGGTGTTGCTGCTGTTGTTTTTGCTGCATTTGGAGTTGCCGCTGCTGCTGCTGTAGTGCTTCCTGTAAGCTCTGCTGGTACTGCTGATACTGTTGAAGTAAAGAGCTTGGTGAAAGCCCCATCAAAGCTTGGGAGATAGCAGGGTTGTATGGGAACAGACCTTCCATCCCATACATTGGCTGCAGGTAACCACCTGGTAACGTTCCAGGGATCTGAGCGCCGTAGTAGGGTGAAAACCCAGGGACAAAGTATGGAAGAAATGGGCTGGTGAGCAGGGCAGATGGATCGGAAGTCAAAGCTGCTTGTAAAGCCTGGAGCTGGGATGAGTCTACTATATACTCCATACCCGGCATTGAGCTGGATGTTGAAGCTAGAGTCTCTCCTTTCTCTTTTTTGAGCACAAGTGATGGATCTCCCTTGCCTTTCCCCCTTTCCTTCTCTTTCACCTTCTCACTTTCTTTTTCCTTCAGCAACTCTTGGGACTGGGATGCAGGTAATAGGTGAGTCTGTGATGGAATGGTCGGGCTTAATGATTTGGGAGGTTGTTTATTTGGTTGTCCAGAAGTTGGAAGGCCAGGGGAAGGGACGGTGGTGTTGGACACTCCCATCACACTGGATTTTGGAGAACTTAAAGCTAAAAAAGAACCACAAAGAGAAGAATCACACAGAAGAACTAGACTGTAGAAAGAGTTTAAAGAAGTAGTAGAGGTAATCTAAAACACAACACACACCCAAACAAGCTAAGAGCATGTACTGGAGCCAATGTAGTAAAACTGGAGAGTGGAAAATATTGTGTAGCTGTACATAGTAGCCAACCAGCTTCTAACTTTAATTTGTTCAATTACGCTTTGACAAAAAACCTGGAAGCCGATTGGTTTCTATGCAGAGCTGCACCAGAGTTTGCACCCTCCAGGTTTAGTAAATCAACCCTACTATGTCTTATCTGTGCCTCCAAACATTTGGAACAAAGTGGACTTAAAAAGAAAACACCAAGCAAACGGCAATCAAGGAAGTTTCATCTTTAATTCTCTGGGGGAAGTCGAGCAAGACTGGTTCTCCACTTTCTCTTTTGTAAATATCTTTCTATGTTTATAGAAAAATACAGATTTTCTACTTTAGTGAGCAATAATAACTCAAATCTTGGTAGATGTGTCAGTTGAAGAAAGGAAAAATAGAAATAAATCTTCTTAAATAGGTGTCCATCACCTAAGGACACTAGCCATAAACAGAGCCTCGTGGAGTTGGCAGAGTTATATGGATACACTGGTGTGTGGTTCCAGCAGAGTTTTTTTTTTTTTTTTGCCAGTATCTAATCACCGAAAGGTAGCAGTGTATGACCCATTGCCTAAGAATCTATTCCTGTAATGTTTGATTAAGATATACAGATTTTCTACTTTGGCTTCTATGATTAAAAAACATTGTCAAGAATGGAGTCAATGGACACTGGTTCTTGAGGGGTGGAGACCATGCATGTCTTCCTTTCATGACAGAAGGGTGCTTTACCCTTCCTGTCTACAATGTATATTAATATTCCTCAGCACAATGAAATGGCTAAAACGTTTTATGCCTGTGTGGGACGATTTCCTTTCAGTTCCACTCTTAAGACACAATACAGAACAGTGGACACCAGGGCAAATAGGGAGAAGTGAGAAGATAAAAAAAAAAAGGTCGAAATCCTTTTCTACTCTCCAAGAGGAAAATGGTTTTAGATGGTCTTCATGTTCCAGTTGTTCTGGGCAAAATGCTGCTACTCCAGTCAAATGCACCTGGATAATGTGGAATGGGCAACTCAATGGCAGTACAAGGCTGAAAAATTGCACTGCCTCCAAGATTTATCTGAAGTAATTTTTATTTGATCATTTTGGATCGGGCGTGAAAGCTGATAAAACACCTGGCAGGCCTTTACGTGTGTACGATGTTGTGTTGCTTCACTCACTCCCTATCTGGTGAAAGCGGGAAAGTGTAGTGATACGTTTTGGCAGTTACCAGTGTGGGGATGGAGCAATAAGCTGCACAAGACCTCATGGGGCATTACAAATGTCAGCTTTGGCCTGATGGAGATTGAAATCTGTAGAAATAAACATATATTTACAATTTATGGCAGTCTGGATTGATTACAAGGCTCCATGCACACGGGGCGTTTTAATAACGCTGGTAACATTAGCTGTGTAATGTCCCGTTAAAAACTTATTTCAGCGTTTTGTTTTTTTTTTAGCGTTTTTGTATTTGTGTTTTGCTGCATTTTTTAGATTTTTTTTTTTTTTTTACTCATAAAAAGTCTAAAAACGCTGGTTTGCCGCGTTTTTACAGCTAAAAAAACGCCTCTAGAAATCTACTAGTTCTGGGCTTTTTTTCCAGCCATAAAACGTCCCTGCCAAAAAACGTTGATTCCAGTCTATGTGTGCATGGACACATAAGATAGCATGCTGGGGGGTTTACTAGCTGCAGAAAAAAAAAAAAACATCAAAAGACAAAAACAGCCGCTGTAAAAACGTCAAGTGTGCATGAGGACTTATTCCTGAGGGACCAACCCTAATAAGTGTTTGTGAAGTGTAAAGAATGAAAACTGTGGTGTGATTGACATAGCAAAGGTGTTGGTATCTAGTGTGGAGTGCCCATATTTGATTTATTTTCCTGCAAGAGTTCTGGGTCAGCCATGAAACTATTAGGCTCTGTTTCACATGGGGTGGAATCCAATTTGTGCAAGAAATCTGTCTGCTGATCCCCTGCTCAGCAGAGCAGAGATGATAGGTCTGTGTCCCCCTCAGTTTGTTCAGAGCAGACATGGACAGAGCCTGCTCTGCTCTATGGGCAGCCGGGAATAAACGGACTATCAGTTTACACCCAACTGCCCTCTGCTCCAACCACCTCCTAGATGGAGGACAGATCTCCTTCCATATTTGTTTTGACCATCTGATGAAGTTTGCTTGAAAAACTGACAGGTGGACCTGATTGGAGTGCCTGTGTGAAAGTGGCTTTGTGCTTCTCTATTTACAACACACTTACTAAAATCTGTATCCATATAATCCTTAAAGGTGAACCAGGTTTGCTTTACTATCCCCCTCCCAAGCAGCACACACTAGCCTTTCCTTCTATCCCCCCACCACTCCATTCAGCCACCAAGAAAAAGAAAGGGAAGCCATGTCTAAGGCTTGGGGAGCATGTACCAGTGTATGTAGTTGGTGATTGGCACAGCACTGTCACATGTGGGTGGGAAAATTGTGATTTTCTTTCCTGCAACCAAAACAAATTTAATGTTAATGGGGGGGGGGGTGCCTCCTGCAGAGCTATAGTGTCCTCGTGGGGGGAAAATACAGTGATTACTGCTAGCGGCTATGGCAATTGGCAATGATCGCTTGTAAAAGTCCAACATGCTGGCTGTACCCAAGTTGATAGATGGATCACCTTGAGTATAATCGGCCTGCCCATACATGGTTTAAATCTTGGTTGGTTCCTGCTGAACTGGCTGAGATTCAAACCATCTATGGCTGGCTTAAGTTTCATGTTGTTCTAGTCAAAGCTAACATAGTGGCTAAAGCCAGTTTCCCCACCCACATGTGACAGCGCTGTGCCAATCACCAACTACCTACAATGGTACATGCTGTCCAATACGCCAAAGTAGCAGGTATTTTCTTCACTTCCAGGTGACTGAATGGAGGGAGAGAATGTGCTGCTGGAGAAAAGGGGCATTATAAATACCCCCTCACACCTCTCACCATACTCTTCCTATTACTGACATCATTTGAGGTGACTGTGTCCTTTAAAGTAGACCCTTCCTTATTCTGGAAAATATCGCTGGACACTAGCGAGTCTAAGAGCCAGTAATGAACATCACCAATACTAAAGATATACATTACCACAGTCATCACCCATACTAAAGATATAATTATTACAGCCATTCTTCTCATTTCAGCCATAAACACAATCTCACCTCAGACAAATCATAAATACAATAAGAAAATGGACCAAAAAAAAAAAAAAACCCATGTAGACTAATTTGTCTACATCTATTAAAGAGATTCAGTAAAATATATTTATTACCAGATCTTCCTTTAAACAGAAGGATTTTCCAGATATTAAATTCCACATATAGATTATTCTAATATAAGGCTTACATAATATCTAGCCTGCCTTGCCATTGGGCAAATAATATTCTTATGAGGGTAGTGCTTCTTAATTGAAATACAGAACTTGCTAGAGTGCCTTCTACGAAAGGAAAATGCAAAACAACTTGGTGTTCTAAGAAACAAACGCTCTCTATGCAGAGACTGAAATGACTAAATCTAAAGAATTCACCTGTTACTAGGAGCTTAAATTATCATTGTAGGTACAGAAGGACACAGAAATCCTACAAATTCTCTTCAGATCACCACTGGTTAACGGTGGAAGGTCTCTTCCTGGCCAACTGTGTTCTTTGTGATCTGAATACTAAGTGCATTCTTTGGGACTTGGTATGCATTTATAAAATATTTTGGTAGAGTTTTACTTGTTTGGCAATTTTAATGTCTAATCTCTGAATTAGACATTGATAAGAGCTTTGGCTGGTAAATCAGGTAATAAATTTACACAATTTTATATTTCAGAAATCACAAAATTTAAAATTCATGTAATATAGGGTTTGAGTGTAGTTGAAGGGCCAACATGTCTCTCTTACCCTAACACCAGCACACTTTCACTACCAAGTGCTCTTATCTTGTGCCCACCTGTGTTAGAGGGAGTGAATCCTGGCAAAGTTGGGCTGCTGAGACCTGGCAACAGTACTGGAGGGATGCCTTGGAGAGCTGGGTAGGGTGTTGGAAGATTGAGTGCTTGCAGGGGAGGGTTATCAAATATAGCCTGTTGCTGAGGGGTCAGACCCAAAACCTCATTGGCTTTTTTAATGCGATCCAACTCTTGCTGAGCCATTAACTGACGAACAGTGGCTGGATCAAAGTATTCTTTCTCCTTGTCCAACTGGCTTCCTATAGCGTCCTTAACTTTGGAGATATGTTGCTGGGAGAAGATATGATCCCGCACAGACAGACGTGCGCTGTATTTCACGCCACACAAAGTGCACTCTGTTTTAGGTCCCTCATAATTGGTTTGGTTTATTCCGAAGTGCTTGGCCATGTTTAGTTTAGCCTTCTTTTCCTTTGCCCGGGCATTCTGAAACCAGACCTGTACAACTCTCTTTGGCAGTCCGATATCATTGCCCAAAACTTCACACTCCAGCATGGTGGGTGTTCTGTAATCATTAAAACAGGACTTAAGAACTTTTAGTTGAAGGTTAGTCATTTGCGTTCTAAAACGCTTTTGACCAGGGCGGTCTCCGCTATCACCTGACTTGCCTGCTGAACCACTTGCACCTGGGCTAGGAGAGCATGGGTCAGCAAGGCTGGAAGTTTCACTATAATCAATAATGCCTTCATTCTCATACTCTTTGCTGTAAAAGCTTGGGGCGGGGCTGACTAAACCAGAAGACATTTGGTCCTCATACTCAGACATTGCCATAATGGCAGACTTTGGCAAGCCTTCGCTCGTTATAGATGCAGATTTTGTTTCAGCAAGAATACCTGTGGTGCTGTCATTGTCTGCATTTCCTTCATCTCCTGTTGTTGTATCTGTTAAAGCAGTATTCACAGAGGAGCAGTCATCATTGTCCAACTTAGCTTGATCAAAGCTCAAATTGACAGATGACATCGAGGGGCTTTCAAAGTCTTCGGACCCTTCAACTTTAATAGAAGATGGACTGAGCAGTGTTCTAGGTGAAAGATCCATAGATTTGCCCACCGGAGACAAGGAAATGCACGGTCCGTCACTGCTGCTGTGGGGTATGTTATGAAAGGAAGTATTGTCAAAAAGATCTCCTTTCAACTGCAAACTGCCATCACAGTCAACAAGCATTGTAGATAAACTCATGTTATAGCCAGCTCTTTTTGCCTCATGCCAATGGCGAGATCGTATGTGAGCTTCTAAAGCAGTTTTTGCCTTAAACAAAGCTCTGCAAAATGGGCAGCGCCTATGAGCTTGGGCTGGACCAACCGCTCGAAACTGTCCCTTTCTTTCCCTTGCCCGAGTATTTTGAAACCAAACTTGAACAACGCGCTTCTTCAAACCCACTTCATGGGCAATATGATCAAGCATTTTACGTGTTGGGTTAGAATCCAGCAGATACTTCTGATATAATATTTCCAGCTGTTCTGGTGTAATTGTGGTTCGCAGGCGCTTGTCCCTTTGAGGTTCTTCTCCACCAGTCCCACTATCGTTCTCCCCTGGGCTTGCACTAGCCTTTTCCTCAAGCTTCCTTTTTAAGGTGTTCATTGTGGATGATGGTGCTGAAGGAGAAGTAGCTGAGCCAGTTGGCATTTGAGAAAGTCCTCCAGAAAGCAGCTGGCTTGCTAGTAATGGATTACTGGGATCAAATAGCATGAAGGGCATATCCATTGGTCTGTCTAAAAACTGAGGATGAATAAACTGGTTTTGAGCACTAAGAAAATGCAACTGTTGGTGTTCCTGCCAGTGCTCAAAAGATGGGAAGGCCAGTTTGCATTGATCACACTGATAGGGAATTAGCTGAGGAGGCAAATTAGCTAACTGCTGTGGAGTTGATGAGTGAAGAGGCTTCATAGAGTGGTGTGAAATTTGAGACGTATTGGGACTTGACTGTGTAAGGGAGCAGTGGGAGGGTTGTGTGGATGGAGATGATAAGGACAGATGTTTCTGTGGTGTTGTAGTAACTTTTTGTTCCAATTGGTCCTGTTGTGGAGGTTGAGATTGTGTGGTTTGAGGCTGCTGTGGCTCTTGCTTTGGTTGAAATGGCTGTTCTTGTGTTTGGTTTTGCTGTGTCCTTGGAATTTCATAATGCTTTGGTTTATCATCATTTAAAGCCTCTAGCTTGGAACTACACATTATCGCATCATCTAGATCCATCATCTGCTGTGAGAAACCAGCATTTGTGGATGCTGTGCCAGCAGTACTATAGGTCTGAAAGGGCATAGGGGTGCTACATGAGGAACTTGAAGGTGTCAGCATATCAGTGGCATCCATAGAATCTTCATTTTGGCTGTCATCTTGCATATCTTCATCCTCATCTTTGTAACACAGTTTTTTCTGATGTTTGATGAGGTCAAAGATCCTCTGAAAGACCAAACTACATTTTTTGCACTGGTAGTTTAGGTTGCTAGTACGAATATACCGGTCATTTGTCAATTCACGTCTCTCACCTTCCTTGCCATCTCCTTGATTTTCATAATTTTTTCTTGCTTTTTGCCGTGCATTCTGAAACCAGACAACAATAACACGCGTGGGAAGGTTTAACAGACTGGAAAGTTGCTCAAATTCATCATCCTTTGGATAAGCATTGGCATCAAAAAAATCTTGAAGAACACGGAGCTGGTAGTCTGTAAACCGTGTCCTGGAAGACCTCTTACTTCCCCAGTATTCATGCTTTTGAGGTTCTGGTGATGGAGGTCTAGAGTCCATCTTTAATTCTTCTAAACTAGTAATGGGGGGGTTATTGAAATTGTAAGGAGAGTCTTTGTTTCGTTGACGCTCCTTAAAGAGGGTGTTTCTAAACCAGTGTTTGATAACTTTTTGGGGTAATCCAGACTTATCAGACATTTCTTTGATCTGTTCCTCACTTGGGGAATTGTTGATGTCAAAATACTGCCGTAACACTCTTAGTTGGTCATCAGTGATTCTGGTACGTGGTCTTTTGTTCTGCTGTTGTAGAAGACTGGGATTAAGTTGATGCTGATAAAGCTGAGCCAAGTCTGCAGAAAGAGTTTCTACTGGAGTCAACTGAGATGTCAGCTGTGCTGGCATAGTTTGCAGTGGCATAGGTTGCATCATAAGGGGTGGAAAAATAGGCAGCTCCATTGGCATTGACAGTTGAGCCAGAGACACCGATGTCTGTGCAGGTGAAATGCTGGGTGGGGTGAGTGGAGGTGCAGTAGTAGGAATAGGAATAGTTGGTGTGATAGCTGGCTGTGGGGTTGCTGGAGGAGGAGGTGGGGGTGGAGGTGGGGGCGGGGTGGAGCTGTCTCTGGTGTTTGGGGCCTCAACGGATATAACTTATCATATTGGTCTCTGTATTGTTTTGCAAAGTGTTCAAGTTGCTTAAATGGTAAATAACGTTGGTGGACGTGTTCCTGGTGGCTTTTTAAAATAAGGATGTTAGAAAAAAATTTCCCACATGAATTGCATTCCAATTTCTCCAAGCTGTCAGTCTGTTCATTCTTCCCAGTTTTCTTCTGCACTTTCTGCTTGTTTTCATTGTACTGAATAACCAGCTCAAACCCAAAATTTTCAAGCAAGGCTTTGGTGGCATTACCTCGAGCATCTGATGCAATGCGAGGTGGAAGCAGAGTACAGTCAGAGCTGGAACTGGCTGTAGGCTCTTTCTTGTCTTTACATTTTAGACCATCGGGCACCAACTCATTTACTACTGTAGTGTCGTCATTTCTTTCAGCGAATTCTTTTTCTTTCTTTAGTTCCTTGAGGTTTTCCTTTGTAGATTTGTTCTTTAGTTCCGGAAGTTGCAGGAGAGTGGAATGTGGTTCTGACATACACATTTGGCTTGACTGTTGTTGCAGGAGATGTTGGTGATGAGGGTGTGACTGTTGGGAAAGTTGTAGCGGAGTCTTTAGGTCTTCCAGGATACCAGGGCCACTTCCTGTCAATGTAAGTGTACCACTGGTCAAGGGCAAACTAACCTCTGGGGTGAACTGAAAGTCTGTACTAGGGATGTAAAAGGGAAACAGAAGGTGTTGCTGCTGTTGGAGCTGAAGTAATGTCTCTGTGGTCATAGGAAAGTGGGGAAGCAAAGTGGGATTTAATAGCTGAGACTGCAGAATAGCAGCTTGTTGTTGGAGTTCTTGCTGCAACTGGGCTTGCACTTGTGCCTGAGCCTGGACCAGAGTTTGGGCTTGCTGCTGTTGATGCTGCTGCTGTTGTTGTCGTGAAGCTATCATGTCTGCCAGTTTCTTACGGTTCACTTCTTTATGTTCAGGTGGGCAGGGGACAGTAGAAGTAAGCAGGTTGCTTGTGCCAGCACTGACTACAGGTTCAGTGGGCATTTGGCTCACAAAACTGGAGCTCGTTGCTGTGGTTGTGCAGCTTGATGTGGCGGTGACAGGGCTGGATGTCGTTGTGGAGGTTGCGGATGGGCAAGTACTATTGGAGCCAACTGTGCTGCTGCCACCTGCTGCTTCCAGCTTTGCTGCACGAGCCTTGGTTTGATGCAATACAGACCTCATGTGAATTTCTAGGGTGGAGCTCTGGCTGTATGCAACATTGCAAGTGTTACACTTAAATGGTTTATTATCGGGGCTGTTGGTGGGTTCCGGTTGCCCGGTGGTTGAATCTTGCAGGGCTCTTTTAAGTTTATGCAGATGTGACACAGAATTGTAATGCACCAGCAGAATGTTCTTCTGAGTGAACGACTCTTTGCATACTGTGCACTTGTAGGGTCGAGAGGGGTCCAAAAACTTTTCCATAGTAAAATTTGGGCCTTTACGGAAGGGAAGAGCTCGTTTAGGTTCAGAACCGGAGTCTTCTTGTATGGAACCTGAATCGCTTCCTGTGGGACTCTGCTTTTCCTCTAGGTCACTCTCATCCTCCTTGTCATCATCTACTAGCATGCTTTGGTCATCAGACATAGCTGGCTCTCCCATGCTTGTAAGGTCTCCATTCACCAAAAGGCCGCTGTACAGCTGCTGGATGTCAGACTCGCTCAACTCCAGATGGCTGGTCTCTAGATGCTTCTTAAGGGCTTGGAATGTGCGGAAGCTCCTCTGGCAAAGACAGCACATGGTGGCTGCACGGATCACATGATACTGTGAATGGAGCTGAAGTTTCTCGATAGTTTTGAAAGCTAAGCTGCATTGGTTGCAACGGTACTTGTAAACATGGCGGTCAGAAACTGGCAATTGAGGACGCTTGTTGTGAATCTCGTTGAAATGGTTTTGTAGCGCAGCGGAGGTTTTAAACACTTGGTTACATCCTTTCTTCCAGCACAAGAATCCAGAATCTTCTCTGGTGGAGTTGTCGATGGTGGGTGCTCTCTGTTCTGTAGTCAGCTCAGTCATTTCAGGGACAACTGCATTCTTAGACAAAGCTTCAATGGGTTCTATGGAGGGAAAAAAAATGCACTGTTATAATACAGACTTGCAACAGGCACCCTTTCCCAATTCGCCCTATTGAATGAGAAATTCAATTACTCAACAGTTTTTGCCTGTAATTTGCGGTTGCCCCAAATGTTCTTCCTGGGGATACATTCAGGCTCTACAATATGTTGTATTAATGAAACATTATTATGCACCGAATTACACAATCAATTCAACCTTTTATAAAGGAGTGCATAGCATATGCACTGCCAACTATTTTAATATTGCTTTTGGTGAGGGGTCTCCAATCTGCAGCCCTTTGCTTACCTTCATCTGGTCCTTGGGCTACTAATCATACTACTGACACTAGAGATGTGGAACTATTCCTCCTACTGACACCAATGAATTTTATTTTCTTTATTCCCACTGACCACCAAGCCTGAGTCATCAATGTCAAGGTATTTTCCACTCCCACTGCCCACCTTAAAGTTTGAAGAGCAGTAAACTGGCATTTTTGTTTCCCCACAAGTATGGAGACTCCTTGCTTTAGGGCATCCTTTCTCTCAACCTTTTTACCCACAGGAACCCCTTGAAATAACTTTCAGGTCTTGGAGGAAAAATGCCACTTACATTTGTGACCATTGAAAAGAGTTGGATTCGGATTTTATTTCGATTGCATCTGGCACCTGTCAAGGTTGCCCCCTATCACCGTTATTGTTTGTTATTACGATTGAAACTTTGGCGGTGGCTGTTAGGAATCACCCTGACATTTTGGGGGTAGATAGTGGGCATTGGAAACACAAATGTGCACACTTTGCAGATAATATGCTCCTTTTTCTTACGTCCACTCATACCTCACTCCCATAGCTTTATTGTCTCGATTTCATCATATTTCTGGTTTGGAGGTGAATTGGAAGAAGTCTGAGGCTCTCGCCATCAATTTGGAGGCGGAGGTTGTTCGGAGTATACAGAACAATTTCACTTTTGCTTGGCAGTTGTACTCTCTGCCGTACTTAGGGGTTAAGCTTACGGCCTCTATAGCATCACTTTAAAAGGCTAATTATATACCTTTATGGGTGCACTTCTTGAGGGATGTTGACCAATGGTCCGGCTTTGTCTTGGATGGGTAGGATAGCAACGTTTAAGATGGTGGTATTGCCTAAAATTCTTTATTATTTCTGCACTTTGCCTATTGTGGTTTCGGCGGCTGACCTATGTAGATTCCAGAACAAGCTGATGCACTTTATTTGGGGTAATTGAGGCCATAGAGTACAAAGGCGGATGCTATATGTATCACGTGAGTTTGGGGGTCCCAGACCTTAGGAAATATTATCGGGCAGCTCAGATTACGCATTTTCGCAAATTTATGCTGTGTTCTATTGGCTGGACTGGTTAGAATTGGAGGCGCAGGCTTGTAAGGCTCTGTCTCTCAACCTCTTAATGTGGATCCCTCGTAGGCGAAGGAGGGTGATTCTTTGCCCCACGTTATCTCACTCTCAGCACCTTTGGGACTCTGTCCGTAAACAGAATTTCCCCTTGGTTTGAGGTTTCAGGAATTTCGCTGGGGGATAAATAAAGGATTGTATAGAGTGGGACACTTTTTGGGCCAAAAGGGGATTCTCCCCGCCTCACGTTTTATATTGCAGCTTGGGATGCCTGTGTCTGAACACTATCGTCTACAGCAAATTCTTCAATTTATCCACTCCTTACATAGAATTCCTACACGTTCTGTGTTCGAAGGTAGGAGTCTCTGTGGTGAAGTTTGGAGGTGGGGGGGCCTCATCTCAGATTTATATAGGTTGTTTGTATCTCATTCGGGTAGACTGTCATATGTTGGCCTGGGAGAAGGACTTAGGTGAGGTCATAGAAGAGAAGGAATGGCAGGATTGGCCCCTTGGGGTACATAGGGGCATTATGAATGTCTGTCTTGTGGAGGCAGGTTATAAGGTCATTTCTCTGTGGTATTTGGTCCTGAATCGATTATCACGGATGTACCGTGGTCCATCTCCCCTCTGCTTTCGGGGATGTTGGCACGACTTTCCATATTTGGTGGTCATATCCTAAAGTCAAAAGATTCTGGATTCCGCGTTCACTCTCTGATCTTTACGGTGACCATGATTAATGTTCCTAAGAACCCTAGCGTTAATGAGCTGATTGTGGGTGCGTCCAGGTCTGCTCAGAGCCTACTATATTTTATGTTTCTAGAGGCTTAAATTGCAATTGCTACGGCATGGAAGGGTCTGGTGATTGATTTGGCGTTGATGAAAAACAAACTCTTGGATTATGGTTAATGAGAAATTGGTTAATATTTTACTGGATACTTCTGCTGGGTATGGAATCCTTGGATTGATTACCTACAAACTGGGCTCTAGTATTGCTGAGTGCTCTGCTTTGGTTTTATGGGGTAGGTCACATGGATGGCTTCTGTTTTCTTCTATTTCCCTTGCTCCCCCTTTTTTTCTTTTTTTTTTTTTTTTTTTTTAAACTGTTTTCTTTTTTCTTTCTTTAGTTTTTACTGCTTATTGATACTTTGGCCCTTGCTGGGCTACAGCCTCCTTGCACCTTATACTTATATGTACAATGGGATGTTTTTTTTTTTCTTGGCTATGGTAGTTATGATACCTGGGGCTTGTTTTAGCAGTCCCAGTCTTTCAACTTGCTAGATTCCCATTAAGTAGGTATTTATAGAGTTGGCCCAAGAGATTGCACTGTGTTTTTATGCATATTTCCTATATTTTGTTGTATGTGATATGTTTGTAATTATGCAATGCTCCAGTGTTGCGAGATATTTTGTGCCTTTGGAGGGCCTACAAGGCTTGCTGTATACCTGTTCCCTTGTTTTGCTTTATAACAATAAAAATATTGTAACAGAAAAGAATTAGAAAACTAAGATGATCTCCTTCAATACCGTCAGTCTTGAGGCAGCCTACAAAGTTCTCCTGCGGTGGTACTGGGTCCCCGCTCGGAACTGTTCACTTTAATCCGACTGGCAGAGATAGCCGTTTCCGGAACTGTGCTCTACGTGGGTACATCTTGCACATTTGGTGGTCGTGCCCACGATTGATAGGCTTCTGGTCTACGGTTTTTGGTTTGCTGCAAATGTTATTTCATATAACAGTCCATAGGGATGCAAGAGTGGCCCTCCTGCATTACCCAATTTTGGGTCTGTCTAGGTCTCAGCAGAAATGATCATCCTACCTATTCATTTCGGCCAACCGTGCTATAGCTCAAGCTTGGAGAACCACTTCGGTTGTCTTCCAGGGGATGAAGACCCAGATGAATGCTATGCTGATCAATGAACAGATGTCTAGTGTTCTTCAAGATTCTCATCCGAGATTCCTTAAGGTTTGGGAACCTTGGATACGTTCTTCCCTGCCTCCTACTAGGTATGGCCTTATAGTTCTTGCCTCTGCAAGCCCTGGATCTGTGAATCTTCTAGTCTTCCATGTTTTCTCCCTGAATCTTTCTATGTTATAGTTTCTTTTTTTTTTCCGGTAAGATGGCTTACTGCTGCTACTATTTGGTTCGACTTTTTGCTGTGCCTCCTTGATGTCACTGGATGTTCCGTTATGGGGCTAATACACCCTGCTGACTTGTATCTGCTTATATATGTTGTTGTTCCGCTCTGCCCCTGCGTGAGCTTGTTGTATTATAAACACAAAAACTTCTTTAATAAAAAATATATTGAAATAGAAAACTAAGAAGATCATTGATATCATGCAGCTGGGTCTGCCAAGCGGCATTGGCCCTGAAACTATAAAGGAAGGTTAATCAGCCACAGTTCAAGGGACCGATAGCAACCTCTGGAGGAACTCTGGTTGAGAATGGCTGCTTTAGGGTTCCATTCAAAATGTACATGTCAACATAAGCTGTTAAAGTCCATTATAAAACATTAAGACTGTTAAGATACATTCCTAATTTGGATTCATTTGCCTCACCCCTTAAAGTGAACTGGAAGTAGGTGATCAATGTAATCATGGAGGATCCTGCAGCCCCTCCAGCAACTCTCTCACTATTTGTCCATTACTGTGATGGGCAGTGTAAGTCTTAAAGGAGAAGTATGGCCAAAGCTATTTTGCGTCTCCTATCAACCATAGAGGTGCACCACTATGTAGTTCTGTGACCCGTTTTCAGTTGACTGGGGGCTAAAGCCTACAGGAGCCAGTCCAGGCTCTGGGGAGGTCCTGATTTTAAAGGCAGGATCCACCCAGCTGCCTGGAACTGCAGCTGGTTCCACCTCAGTGTGCCGTCAAAAGCCCAAGCTAAGCTGCACAGCTCGGTGCTGGAGGGGCAGAGCAGAGAGCTGATGACTGTCTCTGTTGCCTGAAGACCAAGATCTGAGCAATCAGTGGTATTTGAGCGCTCTGTTCTCAGAGGCAACATTGGATCACTGTTACATCCACCTACGTAAGTATGATTCATTTTTTTTTTTTTTTAAGCCAAAATTTCTCTTTCAAAGAATGGGAGGAACTCTGGGAATGGCCATTGCTATTAAGGCTTCTGAGACACTAATACCTTCTCTACACCCCCGACTGCCAGTACTGTAAATGGAGCATAGGTGAAGTACCTGAACAAGAGAATACACTTGTTTTCCCTTTCATGTTTCTGATGCAGAATACAGGTCGGAGAACCAGACTGGTTATGGAGGACCAAAATAAGAGCTAGTTTCAGATACCCTCAAGCATGAGGCCCCCTAAAGTCTGAGGAGCACAGCAGCAGTTCTGGTCACCACAGAAGAGACACGTGCATGTAAAGAGAACTTGTCTCTAGAGTGAACCCACACCTTTTCCTAAAAGAGGTTTCTTACCTGAAGCCTTCTCGGTAGCTTCTGGGGCTGATGCAGGTTTTTCTCGCTCCGGTGAGTTCACAGGAAGAAACATGCTGCTCGGCATGAGCGTCTCTGGAGAAGTTACCTGCAGACAAGGAAGAAGAGGATTTTCAGAAGTGTGTCAGCCACCATCTATGCCTCACCCTACAGATCGCTGAGAGTGTCCACAGCTGCTCAACAACCTCCTCATCACTCAGGAGGTGGCCGGCTCTAATTATCAGTACACGCTAAAAGAATAATCTTCTAATTAATATTTTTTTTCCCCTTTCCACAGAATTCTGACTTTGATCACAAAGAGTGTTTTGTCGCAGGCTGTGGGGCAGCCAATTACAGAGATGTGCTGTGAGCCCCCCTTTCCTTCTTAATCTACCAAGCACATATTAACACCCCTAATTAATTCAGACTGCTAAAGAGAGACGAGTGGGCCATGTTCCTGAGTGAAAGCAGAAGCCTGCAAGTACTTTTTTTTTTTTCTTTCTCAAACCAAGTGAGACAAAGATGTGTTAGAGGGGGGGTATTGCAGAAATAATAATTAAAAAAAAAAAAGTCATTTAGATGTATAAGTTCTGCAAAAGAAGACAGTTACTGGGACACACAGAGGCGTTAATAATGGGATTGACTGGCTATGAAACCACATGGATAAAACGTGCTCTGAAACATGTTTTCATGGGAAGTCTGACCAAGGAGACTATCTATATTCTCCGAGATTGGAAGGTAGGAGCACATGGACAATTTATAGTTGATTGACCAAGGTCTGGTACATAGGGGCTTCAGCTTGGACAAGAGAGTAGTGTCTACAGCAAGGTTTTTGTAAGCTTTAAAAAGAGAAGTTTTTTTTTTTTGCCCAGTTATACTTACCTAGGTGGATGCTAAATGGTTAGCACTTCCACTGGCAGTACTGGGGTCGTTGGTTCGAATGCCAACCATGCCACCACCTGCCTGGAGTCTGCATGTTCTCCCTGTGCCTGCATGGGTTTCCACCAGGTACTCCAGTTTCCACCCACACTCCAAAGACATGGTAGTAGGTGAATTGGCTCCTGTCTACATTGGGCCTAGTGTATGTATGAATGTGAGTTAGGGACCTTAGATTGTACGCCCCTTGAGGGTTAGGGACTGATGTGATTGTACGCCCCTTGAGGGTTAGGGACCTTAGATTGTACGCTCCTTGAGGGTTAGGGACCTTAGGACTTGAGGGTAGGGACTGACGTGAATGTACAATATATATGTAAATTGACGGCGTTATATAAGTACCTGAAATAAATAAGTGGATGTAATATCAGTCCTCCACCAGCTTGAAGTGTGAGAACTCAGCGATCACATGACCATGGATCACTGTGTTCTCCCAGTCGCTCTGAGCAGAGATCAGTAACCATCAGTCGCTACTCTCTGCTCTGCCCTCCCCCCCAACACACTCACTGGAGCGCTGGGCTGTAAAGGGGGGGGGAGCAGCTGGCTCAGCCTCTCAGTGACTTGCTGAGAGGCTGAGCCAGTTACCACTCCAGACTGTGGGGTGGATCCCGACTTTAAAGTCGGATCTTTCCCCAGCCTGGCTCAGTGCCATCAGCAGGCTTCAGCTGAAAACAGATCACAGGACTGCAACCTACACTCCTGTGATCCAAAGGAGCTTTGGCTGTACGTCTCCGTTAAGCAACTTTATTGAATCATTAAAGTGATTTGCATATTTATTTTTTAAATATAATTTAGAAACAAGTTTATACCTACCTGATGTGTGCAATGGAATTGCACAAAGTGGCCCCAAATATCCTTTTCCTGGGTCCCCCGCTGGCACCCCTGGCTCCTCCCCTCCACTGAGTGTCCCCATAGAAAGCTGCTTTCTATAATGGCACTCATGCAGGCTCGTTGCCTGTGTATTTTCACAGATGGTGGGACTGGGATCGGGCCCATCATCTGAAAATACACAGGCAACGAGCCTGTGGCCCCGCTCCACTCACTCATCACTTGTATAAGACCCAGGCAGCATAATGTACTGCAACTGTACATGTCTGGTTTCAATTGCTAGAGATGTTAAACATGTAACAAGAAATAATAAATCTCCCCTGGGACTTTCTTACAGCCAAAAAGTGACAACTAATATAAATATAAAATATTTCTATTGGTTGTCACTTTTTGGCTGCAAGAAAGTCCCAGGGGAGATTACTTCTTGTTACATTTTTGGGGACAGAGCAGCCCTTCACTCACATGCATCTCCTTTGACGAGATGTGAGCTACGTCCTTCTGTTCAAACATACACAAAATCTAAATACAAAATGTCTTCAACTACACCCTACACCTCCACAACCAAGAGACAGCATGGGCACAGTCAAGGCTGCTATAGGCAGCATGCTGCCAGAAGTAGAGGGGGCTCTGGGGGGGTCACAGCGATGGGTGCAGAATAAAAAGTATGCTGTAGTCAACATCTATGGTACCTTATTTAAAGGGCACCTTTCATGAAAGAAATGCAACAGCTGTCATTGCAGATTGTATTTTGGATATGCTAGTTTCCTGGCTGTGTTTTGGCTTTAACCCCTTCATGCCTGAGGGTAAAACAAATCTAAATGCCTAAGCACAATTTTGCAACATTGACATGTGTTAGTAAAACCGTCCGTATCATCACAACTACTTTGTACATCCCGGTGAATTATACCGTGTTTTTTTTCAGGACAAATTGGGCTTTCATTTGGTGGTAAATGGGAATGGATATCTCCTGATTATTTTTTTTTATTATCAAAGGAAAACTGGCCCAAAATAGTAAAAAATATTTATCTGTGTGTTTCTTGTTACTACCATAACCTACCACCAAAGAACAATCCAAAATAAATTCTCCAGCTCTTGACTTGTTGTTTGTACCTGTAGTACAGCCCAGAAATAATAGTGCACATTTTTTTTTTTTTTTACCTAAAACACACTGTCACCAATTTTTTTGACCTTTGACCCTGACCCAAACAATAACCCTGGCACTGAACTAGGTCAAACCTTGATCTAGGTATTTTTTCTTTATTTACAATGTATCTCTCTCCTTCATTCATAAAGAGAGGAAAAAAAACAGGGGGGCCAGGCTACAGTGACTGATCACTGTGATAGCCTCTGATTGGCTATCACAGCGATCATGTGACCTGGAATTGGGAGGCCCAGGTCCCGATCATTAGAACGGGACCCGGGGCTCTCAGTGACACTGCGGTCTTTGTGCTGGGAGCGCGCAGTGCGGCGCACTCCCAGCACAAAGACATGTACACAAATATGTGACCCCACGGAAAAACAGCGTCAAGGGGTTAAAGGAGAAGTTCACCTTCTGGAACATGTTACATGTTCCACTTGTATTTAAGGTGGAACATGTCATATGTTCTAGCTCCTGCCTCCTCTCCCCCTGCTCCTTCCTCCCTGTGTGGGGCTCCGCCCACATGGCTGCATCATTCATTCACAGTTTCCTGTGAATGAATACCTGCAAGTATCATCAGCCATTGCAGCTGATGATCTGTAGTTCTAAAATGGACTGAAAGGGTGCTGGTAAATCCTTTTACAGTCCATAAATTCTTCCTGCCAGTCAGTAACTGCCTTCCCATGTGAAGTACGGGCAGACAGCTTACCGAGGGTCTGCACGGTCTAGGCATTGCCCCCACAAATCAGCTGAGCGTGAGTGCAATGCCTTACAGACTGGAATGTAAAAAAATAAATAAATGCTTTTTTTTTTTTTTTTTTACCTGCAAAAAAGCTGTGCATTTTTTTTTTTTTTTTTTAAAAAGTGAACTTAGCCTTTTGATACTTCTGTGACAATGACCCAACAAGTATGTAGCAAATAAAAGTTGGCATTCGCTTAGAACTCCTCATACTCTATGCTTGTGGATCAGTATCTTGCAAGTACATTAAAAGGCAAAGCAATCAACAGGAAAGCCAGGCAACTAGCATTTTGATTAGGAAATGTCAGCCGTGGCAGCCTACATATTTCTCTCATGACGCCTGTACTCTAAAGTAGAACTGAACTACATCTGAGCACCACAAACCAAAAATGCTATTTAATTGTTAATATTCAATGCAAACGTCCCCATCCATGCCTCCATGCTTTCTTTTGCTGAAAAATCACTTTGAAAAACACCCCCTGATCCATCTGCCCTTAGCTCAGGCATTGGCTGAGACTCCTGGGATGTATGACATCATTTGCCCTGGCATAGAAACCAGGAGGTAATGTATGAGTGCATGTGCGTGTTTAAAACAAATCAATGTAATATGCTGCTAGCATCCATAAAGGAATAGGAAAGTAAAACGATTAACCTCCCTAGCGGTCTGATTATGTCAGTATATTTCTGTGCTCAAAGCGGGACATTTTTTTGCATGGAAATATGTATTTTTTTTATTTTAGGCCTGTAATTTTTAGGAATAACTCACTGAAATCTGTCCGAACAAGAGTCTAGTAAACATCCCGGGGAGGATAAAAGTTGAAACACGAAATCATAAATTATAATTTAATAAATAATATAATAAATTTAATGCAATAATATAATCAAACCAAAAACACTGAAATGTGAAATAGAGCGCCAAGTTCGCACATCGCTGAGCTCAGTCGCAGAATCGTTTTCAGTGTCTGATGAGGAATTTCCCCCACCAATCATTATCACTCAATTCTGCAAGTGGTTCTGATTTACTATCGCTGTTCTCTAGCCGGTCTAAAACCGCGTCTGACCTAAAGGGACGCTTTTTGGACGCCATGGACGTTTCTCAGTTTCCAGGCAGAAAGAACAGTAAAAATGCAGGCAGGGCGCGGGACAAAGCACTCGGGACAAAATGTATGTGAAATGGTTTGATACAGGAATGTTATACTGTGTGATTTTAGTGTATTGAGTGAATGCACTTTTACATTTTTAAATTTCCCGCCAGTTCCGTCCCCCGTACGTCCCAGGGAACGGAAGACAGATGCCGGCATCGGCCGGAAGACATTGCCGGGGACACTGCAGGGGGGACATCGCGGGAGTGCAGGACAAGGTAAGTGAAGAAGAGATCCCGGAGCAACGCTGCAGTGTATTCCCGAGTGTAGCTCGGGGGGGTTACCGCTTGTGGTGCTGAAACTTTACCCCGAGCTACACTCAGGAATAC